TGCATTTTTAGAAAGATAACATTGATAAAATATTACATAAGAAATTTCACAGCACTGAGACGAACAGTTGTTGAGATATTTGCATGTGAAGAAACAGGAAGTGATGTCAAAGGGGAATGTCAGAATGTAAACAAAGCATTGTTACAACAGAGCCTGTAGAGAAGAATCAGATGTTTCTTTACATTATTTTGAGTTTCTATCAAACAGACAAAGAAGAGTTAAAGTTTAAATATTGTTTTATTAAACAAAGACCAGAGAGTTTATTTTATTAAAGAGTTCCCCTTTGATGTCACTTCCTGTTTCACTTTGGCTGAGCCAAATCCAAAAGAAAATATGCCAGTTATGAGACAAAATGTGTAAAATCATGTCATTTTTCTTAAGAAAAAAGATGTTTTCTTTGACTTTTTGTATTTGAAGGACAGGCGTGTCACAGGCACGTTAAARTTGAAAAGGTTTGAGATGGTTGTAATGAGTTATTGTCAGCTGTTTATTAGGGTTGGKCATAATCGTATCATGTGCAGTCAATCGTCAGAAGAACATTAATCGATTAATTTTTGGCACTTGATGATTAATACTGTAATATTAATGCCACCAGGGAAGATTCCTCCAGTCAGTCCGCTTGGTGCTCCTCTCTGCTTCAAATGTGACGAACATTAACAAAAAGTTCTGTAATTTATTTATCTATCAACACAATTTCAAAATTTGATGTAYAGCCTGAAGTCTGTAATTTTGACACAATTTGGAACAGATTTTTACGAAGAGCAAATCTTTCCCACTAAGTTGGTCATGTGACCAGGACACGTTTTGTTTTGTTTGTGTTTGTTGAAGCACTTTGTGATCTCTATCTTGAAATGTGCTTACTTACATAAGGGTGTCCACGGCGTTAATCGTCAAATTAATCGTTATCGGTTAAATACTGGGGGTGCAACGATACACAAGATTCACGGTTCGGTTTGGTTCAATACTTTAGTCTCACGGTTCGATAATTTTTCGATACAAAAAAGAAAAAATTTCATGGTCTTCATAACTTGTAATTTGTTGAAATTAATTCTGAACATTTGTTTAACCTCAAAAGTTCAGTTTTTAAATGAAATGTTGCTGAAACAGCAAGTTTCTCAGTGAATGTGTGTAGGGNAATATGTGACCTGCTTCTAAAGCACAAACTTAAAACTAAAACTGTTTGGACAAGCAAGGAAAACTGTGTGAATTCCCCTCATTAAAGTTCCTGTGACATCAATTTTTTTATAAACATGAATGCATTTTTAGAAAGATAACATTGATAAAATATTACATAAGAAATTTCACAGCACTGAGATGAACAGTTGTTGAGATATTTGCATGTGAAGAAACAGGAAGTGATGTCAAAGGGGAGTGTCTGAATGTAAACAAAGCGTTGTTACAACAGAGCCTGTAGAGAAGAATCAGATGTTTCTTTACATTATTTTGAGTTTCTATCAAAAAGACAAAGAAGAGTTAAAGTTTAAATATTGTTTTATTAGACAAAGACCAGAGAGTTTATTTTATTAAAGAGTTCCCCTTTGATGTCACTTCCTGTTTCACTTTGGCTGAGCCAAGTTCAAAAGAAAATATGCCAGTTATGAGACAAAATATGTAAAATCATGTCATTTTTCTTAAGAATAAAGATGTTTTCTTTGACTTTTTGTATTTAAAGGACAGGCGCGTCACAGGCACGTTAAAGTTGAAAAGGTTTGAAATGGTTGTAATGAGTTATTGTCAGCTGTTTATTAGGGTTGGTCATAATCGTATCATGTGCAGTTTAATCGTCAGAAGAACATTAATCGATTAATTTTTGGCACTTGACGATTAATACTGTAATATTAATGCCACCAGGGAAGATTCCTCCAGTCAGTCCGCTCGGTGCTCCTCTCTGCTTCAAATATGACGAACATTAACAAAAAGTTCTGTAATTTATTTATCTATCAACACATTTTAAAAATTTGATGTATAGCCTGAAGTCTGTAATTTTGACACAGTTTGGAACAGATTTTTACGAAGAGCAAATCTTTCCCACTAAATTGGTCAGGTGACCAGGATACGTTTTGTTTTGTTTGTGTTTGTTGAAGCACTTTGTGATCTCTATCTTGAAATGTGCTTACTTACATAAAGGTGTCCACGGCGTTAATCGTCAAATTAATCGTTATCGGCTAAATACTGGGGGTGCAACGATACAGAAGATTCACGATTCGGTTTGGTTCAATACTTTAGTCTCACGGTTTGATATTTTTTCGATACAAAAAAGAAAAAATTTCATGGCCTTCATAACTTGTAATTTGTTGAAATTAATTCTGAACATTTGTTTAACCTCAAAAGTTCAGTTTTTAAATGAAATGTTGCTGAAACAACAAGTTTCTCAGTGGATCAGTGTAGGGC